AAGAGAAGGCACACTCTGTGAGGGCAGCAGCTATTTCCTTTGTCCGTATCATCACACACTAGCCCAGGGCCTGGCACACAGTTGGTGCTTAGTAAATGTTTTTTGACTGACCGTGAATGAAGATGGGTCAGTTCTGGGCTTCCCACGTGGAAGGTGACACCTGATGGCTTTTCCAGTCTTCTTCTAGCCTTTTCCTTCAGCCCCTTCCTGTCACTCAAGTGTCCTTACTCGGTGGGGCCGCTGGCAACAAGTCATACAACTTGTGACCTGGGACATGAGGCCCATTGAACGCAGGGCCAGGCATGGGCAGCCGGCCGCTTCCCTACCCTGCTCTATTGATGAGCACACCTTGTATAACTCTGACGTACTCTGGATGTTCAAAGCTGAATCCAGGCTATCCAGTGACTTCTAAATGAGCACACAGAGTCCTCTGCCAGCCCCACAAATTACATTTTTCATTCTGTTACAGAGGACTCTAAAAGACCCTGATTAGTGGATAAAAACAAAGATATCCCTATCCGGGATTCATATGAATTCAATTAATGGCCTTTGGCCCAGCTATGCCAAATCCATTTTCCTACGGTTCACAAATCCTGAAAAGGGTAACAAGTTTGCTGCATTTGCTTATTTCAATTATAACTTGAATTAAATGCAGCAGCTGCAAGCATGACCTGTTTTTTGCTTGCAAAATGATTAATCCACAGCATTTTCCTCCAGCACAGCATAAATGGTTGTGTGAGTACAACTGGCAGACAAAGCCCCACAAAGCTATTCCTCTAGTAATCCGGCTCCCCTGGTTATCTGCTGCAATCCCATGGCAGCCAATGCGGGCTGGAGTGGAGTGCAAGAAAATGAGACTGACCAGGCCACGGCGTGGCGACTGGCTGCCTCCTTTTTAGTCTTGGGGGCAATGGTGGCCGGCCTTGCTATGGATCTCTGCAGTCAAGAGATGGGTACAGGAGACAGGTGGTGGACCTCCATCTCTGCAGTAAATGGGGCCGTCAGACAGATTTCTTTGGGAGGATGGAAGTCTATCTGATGTGCCCGGGAGTCTGGGCCGGCCCACTGGGCCAGTCAGATGACAAAAAGCCAACCTCTCTGAGGCTCTATCGGCTCTAAGTGTTTTTATGTTATTTCCCTCAGGACTTTGGTCATGGTTTTTTCCATGGGGGCAGTGGGAATGGAAAGGAAGGGAGGAAAGGAAGGAGAATGAGAGAGAGAAAAAGGAAAGGGACAAAGAGAGTGAAAGAGATGGAGACACAGAGAAAAATGGAGAGAACAGTTGTGTCAAGTTAGTGTAAGAACAGGACAGAGAGCATGATTTCACTGACACCGATGGGCAGCCAAGGAGGACGCTGCCTGAGAAGTGTCACAGGGACAGTCCAAGCCCAGAACCCACAACACAACACGTCCTCCCTTCACCTCGCTGCCCACGAGGTCAGAAAGGTAGAGGAGAGATGGGCAGGGAGTCAGCGACCTAGAGCAAGCCGAGGCCCCACTGCTTATGAGCTGTGTGACTAGGGACCAGTGGCCTGTCTAAGCCTCCATTTTCCTCATCTGTAAAATGGGAATACATGCTTTGTATTCCAAATGAATGACCGCTGTATGAATTCTTTGTGAACTGCCAAGTGCCCTGTCTGCTTGGATGGTGAAAATGATGGGCAACGATTACAGTCGTTGGCATCCGGTCCAGGCGATGCATCCATGCAGCCTTCCCGGATAAGACTCCTCACCTGTGTTCTATTCTCAAGGCGTGCATGACAAAAGGAGCCCCCGAGATACCCTCCGGCTCCAAGAGGCTTCGACAGTTCTGGAGGTCAGGGGGCACCTCCACCTTCACGTTCTCGAATCCTCCTCTCCTCTCGGGCAAACACAGCATGGCCACCGTTCTGCTCTCAGCAAACAAAGTGTGGGGCCGGGCCGGGGCCCTGCCCGAGGAGGGAGGCCCCAGGTTGTGGCAGAGGAGGGTGCCGGGACCAGCTGAAGGCCCAGGTCCCCCGGCTGTGACACATCAGCATCTACGACACCTTGAGGATGGCACCATTCCCATGCTACAGGCCCAGAGACACAAGGTGCTCCCCCTGCATCACAGCTGGCACTGGTTCCTGGTCTCCACAACGTCTCCCTGGATGCTCCAGTCTAGGCAGACGCCTGGTAACAATGGTGACCCTGGAGAACCCAGTCTCCCAGGACCATTTCTGGCTATCACGGTTTCTTCTGGGGAATGCTGGGGAGTGAATCATTACCACCAAAACATCAGAACCGGGAGGCAGTCCACTGCCTGCTACGTGCTTGCTCTTATCAAGTCAGGGAAGCCGAGGCCCAAAAGTTAGTCCCTGAGTGGAGCAGACGGTTCTCTGTTGTAGCAGCCATGACACTTGGAGGTGGCGGTCAAGGCCTCTATGCCTTTCTCACCTGGGAGCCCCACGGAGCCAGGCAGGGCGATTCTGTAGGAGGTGAGCCAGCTGGCCTCCAGGAGAGGAGAAGAGAGCAGGACACACACGATGGGCTCCTCTGGCCCTATTCCTGGGACACACAGCATGACGTCTTGAGACGTGCATCCTCGTCCACACACCTGGTGTATACAGGAACGTGCTTGTGTGCTCTCTGGGGTGAGGAAGGCTTCCAGTGCCCCCAGCAACAGTCGGTGCATGAGGCAGTGGAGGAGCCCCAGACCCGAGCCACAAGATCAGGATTCAAATCCCGGCCTGGTCACGACCTCACGGCGCGATCCTAGGCAAGACACTTCACTTTGACGGGGGTGGTCTCTCCTCTGGGGCCAGAGGAGGCCTCTGGCCTCCTTCCAACCCCGAGTCTGGAAGGCCATCTGCCTGCACTTTTGCCTCCTTCTCTGCAGGGTTGGGGACAGTCTCTGATGCCCTCAGGCTGGCCCCAGGCTCCGCCCCCGTCCTCTGGAAGGATATTTCCTGCCTAGACTCTCCTAGAATCTCTTGGCAGAGGACAGTGCGCTCCAAAGCCCCTCCAGAAGGAATCTCTAGCCCGGGGTCCTTTACTTTGTATCCTGGTCCCCTGGTGAATCTTATCAGCCCCTTCTCGGAAGAATGGTTTTAAATGCATAAAACAAAGCACATAGGATTACAAAGGAAAAATTGTACTGAAATATAATTGTCAAAAAACTTCTTTTTTTAAAAAAATCTACTTCCAGGGGCAGCTGGGTAGCTCAGTGGATAGAGCACCAGCCCTGGATTCAGGAGGACCTGAGTTCAAATGCGGCCTCAGACACATGACACTTACTAAGCTGTGTGACCCTGGGCAAGTCACTTAACCCATTGCCTAACCAAAAAAAAAAAAAAAAAAATCAACTTCCAGGGAAGGACCCCAGCTCTAGAACAAGACAAGTAGCAAAAAGGCATAAAATGTATGGTTCTGCATTACATTCACATCCTCTGCTTATTTTTATGCTGTGTATTTTCATTTGGGGGCTAGGTAATATTAATTTTTAATTAGAGCAGCCATCTTTCACAAGTCACTCCCCTCCAAACTCTTTCTTGTTACCAAAAAACACAAAATTAAACAAAGCCAAACTGAGAGATCCAATGATTTGTGCCCACCCACGTACATGTCCTTTGCCCCTTGGAGTGCCCAGCATCTGTCTCAGAAGAAGGAAGCATTTTATTATTTGTTCTCCAGGACCAAGACTGGGCAATACAATGAACCTGACCTCAGCTGCCTCACTGCATTCGCAAAGACCCACTGGAGACGGTCTGGGGTAGCGGGGGCGGGAGACGGCTCCACAGGAACACTGTGCTCATTCCAGCACGTCCTGTCGGCTCACAGATGGAGCGAAGGAAGGAGGGACCCCCAAGGCCACCCTGCCCCTCCCCAACCCCCGCAAAAGCACGTCAGTCACTGTTGGATGATCAGACTGAGGGCAGTGCACAGCTCACAGACCGCTCAGAGATAGAGTGCTTTGTAAACCACCATCATCACGCACAGCTAGCGGGTGCAACTCTGATTAAGTGCTCACCACTTCATGACTTAGCCCCTTGGCTAATCCAAGGGATGAATTTCCTTTCGAACGAAGCAGAGGTTAGGACAAAACGAGACCAGGAGGCACAGCCGCTCCGGGTGCCAACAGTGAACTTGTGGCTGATGGGTCTGGGGCAGATCTGGACAGTAAAAGGGGCGGTCGGAGAGCAGGCCCCGAGTGAGCATCCTCGTCAGCCCAGCTGGAGAAGCCCTGTGAGCTCCAGTCTTCTCTGACAAGCCCACCTTCCCCGGGGCTGGGCAAGTACATCCTTGGCCTCCTGGAAGCCAGGCTGGGTTAAGAACATCTGGCATGGGCCCAGAGGCCCTCCCGCCTGAGCAGGACGGCCCTTCAGACACTTTCGGAAGCCAATCACTCTCTCTGCTAAATCAGTGGTTGCTGGCAGGGCAGTCACTTAAGGAGACAGAGGGAGCATCAACACCCACTCCTTGTGCGACCTGACTCAAGGAGGCATATACACTCAGTGGGGTGAGCTCCCAGGGTCTAATGGGGCAGGCTGCCTGCCTTGGCTCTCCCCACAGACCTTTCCTTGGGAATTCTGGCGGATTTCAGTCAGGAAGCCCCAGTGCAGGCAGGTAAAGTGCCCAGGAGGCCACGAGCATTTCTGGAAGGACCCTCGGGAAGGCAGAAATTTTTCCTATGGAAAAAACTGCCCATGCTCGTCACCAGATCTTCACCCCGTTGCATAAAGTTTGACCTGGCCCATAAGACAGGGTATTACAGTGCCCGGGGGTTCCTGAGCACACAGGTCAGACCCCACAATCTCCTCCGGCTCTCCCCGTTGGGGATTCTCCCTCCTTGGCCCCGAGGACTGATGACAGGATTTCTCCCTCGCCCCCTTGCCGTGTCGCCGAGGCAGACAGCTCACCATGATCAGGTTATTCCCTCAACTAAAAACAAGAGCAGTGTAGAAAACACAGGCAGCGAGACAGACAGACAGACGGACGTGTGGCCGGGCGCCTTGCCAGCACCGACACACTCCACACACTACCTGGTCTGCTCAGGAAGTCACAGTGGCCCAAGCCGGCGATGTCAATCCGCTTCAGGAAAAGGACCAGGCTCGTCAGGTTGGCCTCTTGTAATTCTGGGGCCTTCAGCGGCTTCATGTCCCTGCAGACAAACTCTTCAGAGTACAGACGGAACAGTTTGCCTGGAAGAAATCAGAGAAGATGCCTCTGCTGCCTCTGCCAGCCTCCCGCCACGCGCTCTCGTGCCCCGGCTCCAGGGCCCCCGGCTACCTGAGGAGGACGCGCCCAGGATCTGCTTGCGGATGTCAGCCTGGTTCCTGCTGATGGGCTGCAGGACGAGGGAGCTGGCTCTGATTCTAGGCCTGTAGATCTGAGAAGGGGAAAGGGCGTCCTGAGCATCGGCTAAGACGAGGGAGAGCCGGCCTCGAGGGGCACTTCTACTGGCCTCGAGGCGAGCCCTCAGATCAATGGTCCAAAGGCCCTGGGGAACCTTGCCATGCTGGGCTCCGGCAGGAGGGTCTGGCCCTTCCCAGCTTGCCCTCCTCGCCCCTGGGGGAGTCAGGACCAGATCCTCCCATGGGACCCGGAGCAGGAGCAGGCCTCTGGCAGAGTCGGCATTGACTGCAGAGGATTTTGGAGCCAAGCCGACTGCAGAAAGATGTTCTGGGGAGTTTTCACAGCGTTCTCATGCGCAGAGGCAGTCTGTGAACCTCTCGGAAACTCCCTGAGACCCTCAGGTGCAGAGAACATGCCAATCTGCACTGGGAGAGTGACTGTCCTCACCTGGGAGGGACCTATCCCGATCAGACAGTGACGGCGCCAAGCCGTGAGTCTGAAGGTGGGGTATCCTAGGCGCGAAGTTCTATCTCTGAGCTGTTGTCCTCTCTCTTTCCTGAGCCAAGGATTTATTCAATCAGGATCAATCCAGACTGATTCCAGGACAGCCTTGAGAGTCACATTATTTTAGGCTGGGTAATGGGGAGCCCCGTCAAGTGCCCTGAAGGGACTCTGTGCCTGGCATACAGTAAGTGCTTAATAAAGGTTAGAATCCTCAAATGCTGGCTGTCTGGAGCGAGGAGAGATGCTATTCCTCTCACAACACCCCCCGTGTCCCCAGCTGGCTGCCACGCAGGCGGCCCCAGCCCCAGTTCCGGCAGGCTTGGTGGGGACCCGGGGGCCCCAGCTTTGTTTTCATTAAGGGCACTGGGAAGAAACAAAAAGCTAAGGCAAGAAGGGGATGCCAGCCATGACATGACAAAGGGCAGAGGTTGGGGGGCTAATGCCTTTGGGGAAGATGCTGATGACGTCACCGAAGGCGCTGCAACCAAAGACTGAGCCGCTTGGGAAGTGGGGAGCACACCTGGCGACCCACTGCGTTTGCTGAGTGGGGACACGTCACATGCCTCAGGTAGCTTATTCCTGGCCACAAAGAAGGCCCAGCCTAGTTACAGAATGGGACCTTGAGTTCCCTGCTGGGCCTGACCTTCCTGCCTCTCTCCTGCGGGCTCCATCCCTGGACCTCGGCACAAACTCACCTTTCTCCTCTCCAGCCCCACGTCAATCACAAACCGGACCGAGCTGCCCTGGAGCAGGGACTCTCCGGAGCTGGTCGTTAATACCACTTTTCTTTGGTAAATGTGGCTTCTTTTTTCTGTGTCTTCATTTGGCTTGAACGGGAGGCATTTTTCTTTTGGATATAAAAGGACGACAATCAACTCCCCGAGATCTGGGTTCAAGTTAGAGCCTTCTTGACAGACAATTTCATGAACTTTTTCAATTTCCTAGAGTCAAAAGTAATACAATGCATGAGCAAAAAAATCAGTTCAATTCACAAATAGTTACTCGAGTATTTCTTTTAATTAAGTGAAACAATAATACAACAGCGTCCAACATAGACGGAAGAGAATGCTTGTGGTTGCGCCACTCAGGTGCATCTACCACCTCTGAAAAAAGGGCCACGAAAGGATAACAAGAATGGGAAACCACTTCTGACGGCGGGTTTGGCTGAGGCTGGCAAGCTAAATGGCATTGTCTTCTCTAGTCCAAAGAGGGCCCCACGTGGGGGGGGACACACTGCTGGCCTTCCAGGCTTCTTCTGAGCCAATTCTTCTGGGTCCTCATGGCCATCACTCTGCCATCTCAAGGGAAAGGCAGTCTTCCCTCCTCCATCACAAGACATCAGAGTGCTATGAAGATAGGAGGACTGAGATCATGGGAAGGCCTCTAGAATTTCTGTCTCGTGTGTTCTTTAATGAGCAGGTGCTCTATCTGGGTCACTTTGGAAAGGACTCTGCTGGCCTAGTTAGGTAGGAAAATGCCCCAAATGCAGTAAGGCATGCAGAAAAGTGCTCGATGCTTTTTATAACTTGTGCTACTCAATGAGATAGGATGGCTTATTTTTGGAAATGTCTCAATGTCAAATACATTTTGTGAAGCAATGAAAGTGAATTCCGTGCAAGAAATTAGGCAATTATGAAAAATACAAAATAGATAGAAATTCCTAGTCAGAAAGAATCCTGCTCCTAAGTTCTTTAAATATCAAAAAGAAAAGATGTTCTTTAAAATGTAAGATTTTCATTTAAAAAAAATAACTTATGTCTGAGACAATTCCTCTCTCCTTAAGGAAGTCAGCAAAGTGCCCACTCCTGGAGGCGTCCTTTGCATCTTCAGCAAAGGCTCTGTCCAAAAGCTGTCACAGGATGGCAGCCCATGGGCCCTCTTGGCTCCAGCCCTGCCTTTCTTTCTACGTTTTGCCTCCTCCTCCTCGGGCATAACCAGGTTTAGGTTGGAAAAAGCCTGAGACCATCATCTAATCCAACTCACTCCCAGGCCCAGAGACGAGGACAGACTGGCTCAAAGTGACAGAGTGCTGAGCGGCAGAGCCAGAATTCAAACCCAGGTCCCAGCTACAAACCCAGTATGACCCAGAGCTTCAGTTTCCTCATCTGTAAAATGGGAATACCACCTCTAGCACCTCCCTAGCTGAGGTGCTATGAGGGTCACATGAGGTGACTTACACTCAGCACCAGGATTACTTTAGGGTGCTACAGAAATGCCAGGGCTATTATGTTATAACAGCAGCAGCAGCAGCAACAGTGACTAGCCTTTCAAAAGGGCTTTAAAGTTTGCCAAATGCTTTACACGTAATTCATTTGATCCTCACAATGACCTTGGGAAGTAGAGGTCTATTATGATAAGCGCTTCTTACCCCCAATTTACAGATGAGGAAACTGAGGTTGGGAGAGATTGGATGATTTTGAAGCCAGATATGAACTCAGATATTCCTGACTCTAATTCAATACTGTCCACTGTACCGCCCAGCTGCCTCTGTTACGACTGTTGCTATTATTAATTTTTATTCTCAGGTAGGGATCAGGACAGCCACTGCATTTTCATGAAGGCAGCTAAGGGCTCCAGCGCTCAGCTCTGCATTTGGCACGTAGTAGATACTTGATAATAACAGCCAACGTTTTTAAAGTGCCAGGCACTGTGCTTTAGATGTATGATCTCACCTGATCCTCATAATAACCCTTGGGAAGTAGGCGCTGTTGTTATCCCCATTTTACAGACTCGTCTAGGGTCCCACAGCTAGGAAGTGTCTGAGGCTACATTTGAACTCAGGTTTTCCCAACTTCAGGCCCAGTCTATCCACTATGTCACCAGCTGCCCCAGTGTCTGAGGTTGGAAAAAGATGGAAAAAGTCACAGCCGGGTGGGAATGTTTGCACGGAAATGTGATGGGAACTTCTTTGCGGAAAGGGGAAGCTGCCTACCTGGGGCAATAATTCCCCTCTGGGTACTGTTCAGAATGCAGGCGAGCCCCTGCCGCATGCTGCCTTCCCAATTACAAAGAATTCTTAATCTCCCCACCACAGACCTCTGAATATACTCTTACAGCACTCTGATCTGCTCAGCAACATACAGGACTCCCACAAGGAATGAGGCTGCCCAGGGCACTGGCCACTTGGGTTACTCCACAGTGATCGTGGCATGGAGGGGCCTGGCTCCTGGCACTACACTCCATCCACATGGCCACGTGGCCCTCTGCTGCAGGTGGTGCCACGGGCTGCTCTGGGATGGGTCAGTAGGTTAGAACTTCACTTCTCTGTCTCTATCAGCCACGCTCCTTACTCGGTACCAGGGAAGGGTGTTCATTCCACCCAGAGATGATGCAAGCTGGGCCTGCCCTGCTTGCTTATAGCCCAGGACGAGGCCCACTTCCTCAACTTCCTGAGTATCCAACAGCAGACAGCCACAAAGGCTGGGGGACTTCACACCCCTCTAGGTGAGCGTCCTCTAAACTACAGGACGGCTGCTTTTGGTGCCCACGGTTGGCCAAAGAGAAGAAGGAAAGCCCAAATCCTGTGAAAATGCCCCAGACCGCGAATACTCATAGCACCAAATCATGGATGTTTCCACTGTAGACCACAATGAGTCTGTGGGAAAGGAAAGGCTTCTGAGATGGTCAAGACACTCTGGTTTGCTCAGGACACGCCTCTAGCACCTCAATCTTGGGCTCATTTTCACCAAATTCTTTCCAACCCTCCTCTGCCCCCCAACTCTGGGTTGGCAGAGAGAGCTCGGAACACGTTGCGCCCACTCGGGACGTCGGGCAGCTCCTGGAAGCGTTAAGCTTCTCTTTAAGCTACAGAAAAGGGGTGTGGCACGATTCATGAGAGCTTGTCATTAGCGGGGAGCTCCTCGCCAGAGGGCCCCAACCCGAGGGTGTTCCCGTGTTCCTGCCCTGTTCTGGCTAAGGGTCACTTACTTGCTCGCAGGCCAAAAAGGCTGCGATGTCGCCCTTCTCTCCGGTGTGGTGGATCTCAAAGATGAGCTGAATGACAGACGCCAGGTGGTCTTTGGGAGCCGCACACAGGTGCACCACCTCCACAGGGAAGCAGTTTCTCACTTCGATGTGAGGCACGTTCCCATAGTAAGAGCTGAGCTTGCTGACCAGGGGAGGAGAGGTGATGATCACAAGCTTCAGCTCAGGCCTGGCCAGCAAAACGTCTTTTAAAAGGCCGAGTAACACGTCCGTCGAGATGCTCCTTTCATGCACGTCATCCAGGATGACGACCCCATAGCAACCCAGAAAAGGAATGGACATCATTTCTCTCTGCAAGATCTCATCAGTACAGTACCTGGGCAGAGAAAACACAGGTGAGCACACTTCTCATCTGCCCAGTACGTTACACAACCCTATAAACAGGCAGGTGTCCACGCCTGTCTACTTGGTAAGTGCAGAGGCAAGTCCCTCCAAATCCAGGGGCCCCTCCAGCCTTGACGTCCTTCTCCCCAAGGGCTCCTTAGGAAGGCTCACAGTCCAAATGACCTTGTCAGCTAATCTTTCCCTCCCTGTGTTGATGAAAGGTTCTGCACTTGAGGGGTTTCCTTGTTAAGAAAATCACCTAAGAAGTGTCCTGGTGGGTCCGCCTGGTGTCCCCTGTCTGGCAGGGCTACCCCCATCCACTCTGGCCATCAGCCAAACAGTAATCACGTCTTTAGGGCCTGCTAGGGGCCCCGCCCCATGCCAACACACACCTGGGAGTCAAAGTCTCAGCCCTCTCTTTTTCCTCAATATTCCCTTTCTTTTAGAATAAATTAAGAATTTAAAATATGACCAAAGCATCCTTGGGGCGAAGGGGCTGAATAACCAGTTATGGATGGATCGACTAGGATTTGTCCAAACCATTCCTGATCCTTGGCCCTTGCTGGGGAATCCAATGCCTGTGTGGGAAGTAGTATCCTTTTAACCCAAGAATTCAGGTTATTGATTTCTGCTCCCAAATTTATCTCCTTCTAGCTTCCTGGGTGTGCTGGGTAAACCATGTTCACAGTCTACACCTGGATGGCCTCCTAAAACCCTGTATGTTGGCTCTGGACACACTGCCCTTCAGGGTTTTTTAAGCTTTAAGAGAACTTCAGAAAGGCTGTGTGGTAGAGCCAGTACACAGCCACTCCTAAGGCGAGCAAGACTTGGGTTCAACATAACCACTGCCTGACCCTGCCTGGGCAAGTGACTTACCACCTCCATGCTTGAGGCAACTCTCAAGATGCTAAATGCCAAGGATGGTGCTGACCCACACTGGTGGAGAAAGCCTCCTCACCTGGGAGGTCTCTGTATTAAAGAAATCCCAGGCCCATTCCCTAGCTATAAACGGAATATTTCTGTCTTTCTTTTTTGAAATTTGTATAGAATCATCAATGACAAAGGACAAAGCAAACTAAAAGATGAGGAAAAGCTGGCCATTTCAGACAGTGACACCACGGCCAAGAGACATGAAGCAGGGGCACTTTCCAGCCAGCCACCAGCAGCTCCTCAGGACCTCTGATGATGGTGACAGCTGCCCTCTCTGCTGGGTTACTGGCTGCTGACTGGCTGGTGGAGCCCCTGGCCTGACGAGGCACAGGGTGGCCACTCAGCCCACCCTTGTTTGATCCGTTCCAGGAGTTCAACCTTCCTAAGATCAGAGGGTCATAGGGGACCCTAAGAGATTGTCCCTCATTTTACAGAGGAGGAAACCGAGCCCCAGAGAATAACACGAATTGGCCTCCCAGGCTCAGCAGAGCCTTCCTAGTCATGCCGGTCAGGTTTCTCCCCTGACTCTTATCCTACAAAACCTCTTTGACTATTTCCTGCAGGTAAAGAGGTAAAATCACTTCATCGGTTTTAAATTTCCTTTGCCAGATGTTGTGAGGTTGCCTCCTAGAGGTCCTTAATTCCACTGAGCTTCTTAATAAACAAATCATGGCTTTCAGCTTGTCTTCTGATTGCACTCTTTTAAATTATTCACAGCTGGCAACCTCCAAACGCTCTGACCCGTTCTCCATTACTTGGACGAGGGAGAGGAGGCCGCTGGTCCAGGTGAAACAAAGCTGGGATGGCTGGTGTTGCCCTGGGGGAGGATAGTGAGCAATCTTACCCTGGGGCTCCCAAAGTCAGTTTACAAGTAGAAAATGAGGCTACCGCACCAGGGAAGAGCCCTAGGACTCGAGCTGCCTGCAGGCGGAGCAAACAGGGCTGGGGGTCCCCCACCCTGCCTGGGAGTTTCCTCACTCACATTCAGACCAGGACTGGCTGCTCTGTCTAATGAGGATCATCACACAATCACAAAAATAGAATCCTTTTACAGAGTTATCAGCCCCTTTGCCCCAAGGATGCTTTGGTCATATTTTAAATTCTTAATTTATTCTAAAAGAAAGGGAATATTGGGGAAAAGGAGAGGGCTGAGACTTTGACTCCCAGGTGAGGAAGCTGTCTCTTCTAATCCAGGCTGGCCCCCTGGGGCACTGAGAAGGGCCATGACTTCCCCACCCTCCTTCCTGGCTTTGAGGGCTAGCTTTGTACCCGTTAGGCTAAACAAAGTGACTTGGTTCCCGGAGCACCAGTGATCTCCAAGCACCCAGTGAATAGCCCTCCCCGTCTGAGCCTACCTGTCCTTTCCCCCATCCCCTTCATGGTGTGAGGGGCTTGGGCTACAAGGAAGGCAGTGTGGTGGGATGGGGAGCTCCTGGGCCCTCCTCCTCTCTGCCCTCATGTCCTCGAGGTTCTGATTCCACAGGAGTGCAGGGCGGGGAGGGGGATGGGAAGGCCTGCACCAGAGTCCAGCTCTGACATTTGAGGGGGTGAGTTTGAGGCCACCCACATGTGGATGGGGGAAGCATTTTCCTGAGATCCTTTCAAAGTTGAAAATGATTTCCTCTAAGCTGGAGGCCCTTCCTGCTCATCTGAACAACAGAAATGTCAGCTTTTCCCCAGAAGCAGCTAACCACAGTGCAAAAAACCACTAGCTGTACAGCCACTGGATCTGGACTCTGAAGCCACCTCTGTTCCCTTGGCCTTGAGAGTCCGTGAGGTCCTTTCAGCCCTGAGTCAATGACCCTAGCCTAATCGTGCTAATGGCCTGTGTCTCGGAAGCTCTGTCTGACTTCTAGACTGCCCCCATCCCACTTTGGAGAATGAGGCCCTGTGGCTCAGAAGGAATGAGAACAATACGTGGCGGGGGCAGGGCCTGCCTCAGTGGAGCATTTGGACCCCACTCGGGGGCCCAGCCCAGCCAGCCCCAAGCAGCTGGCGCTGCCCGTCCCATCTCCCTATTACGTAGTGGTAGGTGGACCACTTATTCCCCCCAATCGAATGGAAGCCGTCTGAGGACTCCTGCACAGGCCAGGCCCCCAAGAGGGCCTCCCTCCAACCCAGTTGATCGGCTGAGTGCAAGGTCTAGTGTCTCCCAAAACTTGATTCACTGAGGGGATTTTAGCCAAAACCAAACCATGAGCCCTGAAGAGGGCCATCCAGCAATCAGAAGCCCTGTTTAAAAACCTGACTGAGCAGCCTCTTCCCGGGCACCTCCTCTCCAGAGAGAAGCAATTATGTGCACGGGGACGGACTTCGTACCTGCCTGGAGGTGGGCATGGCGCAAGCCGTCATTCCTGTGGCTGAAACATCCTGCATGGTGCCAAAGAGATTCTCTCCTTGCACGCCTTTCTACAGAGGCAGGCACACCAATTCTATCACCTCCTGGCTTTCAAAGTGGCAGCTGGAGAATGGGAGGCAGCAGGCAGAGATTCAGGGGGAAATCTTTGTTCTCCTGGCTTAAAGGGGTCCCAGCGAACCAGTGTGTGTGTGTGCGTGCATGCATGTACGTGTGTGCGCGCACATGTGCGTGTGTGCGCGCGCATGCATGTATGTGTGTACGTGCGCGTTCATGCATGTGTATATGTGTGTGTGCGCACGCGTGCGTGCATATACGTGTGTGTCCCACGGTGGCCTTGCTGCAGTTCTGGCTGGGATGGTGTCTGTGGCCAGCATCCCCAGGAGAGAACAGAATGCGTACAAACCTCAAGATGGTTTCGCTGGTACAGCAGTTTTCAAAAGGGACGACATAGCCGACTTCATGCCCCAGAACGACATCCATTTCATCCGCAACCCGCAGAGCGAGCTGGACGGCGGTCAGCCTGTGTGCCTGTGTGCACACCACAGCTCCGTGCTGGTAACGCACAGAGAGACAGTACTCAGCGCACCACTGTGGCACCTGGGGGAGAGGAAACAGGGTCACTGAGGATCGCTGGGTGCCTGCTAACATGTGCAGCTGGTGGTCCTGGCACTTCGCAACAGCGGGCCCCTCCAGAACACAGAACCCTTGGTAGGCCCTTGCTACATGTGTGCCCGTGAGGGATGAGCTCTGGGTCCACACAAGGCAACAGCTAGCAGACAAGGGAGAAGCCCAGCCCCCAGAACGTAAGCCTCGGGGGCCGAAGGGGATGTCAGAGGGAAGAGGAGGCCAGCGGGGGGGGGGCCTAGGAGAGGCCTCCTGCACTGAGGGGGGGGTGGGCTACAAGCCAAGTCCTGAAGGAGGCCCGCGGGCAGAGGCAAGGTGGGGCAGCATGCCCGCCAATGCAGGAACAAACGTGCAGCCATGAATGCAGAGGAGAGGCATGAACTAAAGGTTCTGTTGGGTCTGGGGAAGGAGACAAGACTGCCAAGGTGGGGCATGGAGGTGAACCACGGACAGCTTCTTGGAGGAGGTGGCATTTGCCCGGGGCCCTGGAGAACAGCTGTGATGCCAGCCAAGGTGTCCAGTGGGCAAACCCCAGCCTGTGCCCAGAGGAGGGGAGGTGTGTGTGTGGGGGCAGAGGGGACATCCCCGGGGTGTCCTTCCCCCAGAAAGGGGGGAGCCCCCGCAAACTCCTCATCTCATCAGATCCGGTCAGCCTTGGGAGCGAGGGCAGAGGCAGAGAGTTCATGCTTCATTTCCTACCAGGACACCCCGGTACCCCTCCCTCCTCCTCTTTAGCTTCCTTTTGTGTACATTCTTCCCCCTTTAGACTGGAAGCTCTTTGAAGGCAGCTAACTGGCCCAGTGGATTGTTCAAATCTGGCCTCGGGCACTTACTAGCTGTGTGACCTTGGGCAAGTCACTTCACCCTGTTGGCCTCAGTTTCCTCACCTGTAAAATGAGCTAGAGAACCAAATGGCAAACCACTCAAGCGTCTTTGCCAAGAAAAACCCAAACGGGGTCATGACCAAACAACACTAATGAACTGTCTTTTTGTACTTAGCACAGTGCCTGCCACATGGTAGGCATTTTATAAATGTTTATTTCCTATTGAGTAGAGCGGTGCCAGACGGTGGAGGGCCTTGAATAATACACTAAACAGATCTATAGATACGGACAAGGGCTGAGTCAAGGAGGGCAGACAGCGCAGGGACAACGGAACCATGTGGTGGCAGGGAAGGCAAAGCAGGGCAGGGGGGCGGGGCACCGGGAGCACCCACGCTGCAGTCCCTGTCAGAAGTGCAGGATTTGCTCACTGGCCTTGGTTTTAAGGGAAGGCTCATTGGGGAGCGAGGTGGTTATATCTGGAAATTTTGGGAAAGGCTGTGATATCACCCTGTGATATCAAACAAAAGGCGCCAACAAAACATTTTTTAAACTACAAGCACCACACCCCAGTTTGGTGAATGGTACAGGGAGTGGGTCTGGGGACAGAGAGAGTCAGTTCTGTTTGGCACAGATGGAGGTGGGGGTGCCAGTGGGGCTTCCAGGGGAAGGGGTCTGTTAGACGACTTCTTTCTGGTGGTCTCATTCCAAGATGCTATGTTCCAGGAACATCAAGCTATTGCATATTCATAAACTCGCTACTAGCAAATGAAATATTAGAGAAATAGGAATGAATTGGCTGTTTGGTCTCATGCCCAGGCTAAGAAGCAAATAAAAATATTCAAATCATTTCTTCTCTGCACTGGGTTCTGAAAAGAATTTTCTTTTGTATTGATAGCGTTTATTTTCTAGCATAAAAGACTTATTGCCCACTCGAAATCTTCTCAAAGGTTGATGTCCATCTTTTGAAAAAAATAAATAGCTATGCTCTAAGGAATTATATTTACATTGAAATCTGTGAATCCAAATAAAAATTACAAATTATCCCTTGAAGAAAATGTAGATAGATGCATCTTACTAGCAAAATATATATCACCCCCCCTCAAAGTAGGCAAGGTAAACAAATACTGGCAATTCGTAATTAAAACAAAAACACAGCCAGTAAGAAATGCATTCAGGCCAGTCCTCTTTAGAAAAGGATGGCACTTACTAAAATCGTCATTTCCAAAGGTCCTTTTGTGTCTAATAGACCCCTTCCGCTAGAGGTCCCACCAGCACCCCCACCTCCATCTGCACCAGCCAGAACCGATGCTCTCTGCCCCCAGACCCATTCCTCCTTATGACTACCTGTTTTGATCCATTCACCAAACCCGGTTGTGGCGCTTGTATTTTAAAAGATGTTTATTGACACCTTTTGTTTGATGTCACAGCCTTTTCCAAATATAACCACCTCACTCCGATGATGGATTAGCAGAGGACACTCGGCTGAGAGCTGATATTTTGAGGTCCTGTCCCTGGGATGGATTGAGCTTCTAAATAAATTTTTAAAAAATTATTCAGACAAAAGCTTTTGTGGACTCAGATTAGCTACAAGGGTTGATGTCCCTTTAGTGAAGGCTGGGCCAGGAAGACGCAGTCCATTCACCTGCTCCTTCCTCCATCCCTCCTCTTTCCTAGAGTCCCAGGAGTGGCTTGTGGGGTTGCTGGTGTCTGTGGCAGGGCTGCAGTAGGGGAAACCACACTGAGGAAGGCCCAGCCCCTACCCTCTCTGTTGTGATAACCTATTTGAAAGAACAAGACGGGAGGACTAGCTCTTGAGTGGAAGGCACTGGGAGACCAGGAGCCTGGTCTTTGCTCAACCCTGGCTGTGTGAACTTAGCCCTTCACGGCCTCCTCTGAGGATCAGGTCAGGCTGCAGCAGGGGGTCCCTACCTTTCCTGTGCCCTGGAACCCCATGACAGGCAGTCTGGAGAAGTCTACAGACACTTCCAGAGAGTGAGTCTGAGGAGCATCTCAGACAGGCCTATGGGCACAAGGTCCTTTTGGAAAGGCCTTGTGACCCACCCAAGCATCACATGACAGAGGAAATCAACTGTATTCACGTCCAGACAGACCTTTTCCCAGCTTGACCCTCCCATCTCTTCACCTTTCCTCCCCTCCAACCCCGGTCAGCTGCCACGCCCTGCTGGTCCTGCTTCATTTCCCATGCTAGCTGCCCCCAGGTTTGGGCTCCCTTCCACATTCTGGCCTGGGCCACTGTAATAACCTCCTGCCTCTTTTCCTGCCTCCAGCCTCTGCACCCTCCAGGCCAGCCTTCACAGGACCCAGGGCTGACCGGGGAACTTGTCTCTCCTGCTCACCTTCCATGCCTCCCTATTGCTGCCAGGCAGAATTGAGAGCTGCTGAGCCTGGTGCTCCTTGACCCAACCCCACCGTGCTGCGTCAGCCCCCTTCCAGCTCCTCGGACCATCTGCGGTCTCCCATCTGCCCAGACTCTCGCTCCTGATCTCAGCCTACAGAAAGCCTTGTGTCACTCACATCCGGTGTCATGTCCTCCATCCCAAAACATTTCTGCCGCCTCAACTACTCCCTCAGCACTTGGCCCATCTCTTCCTCGGTGGTGCCACAGTCTACCTGATACTTGTTTACATGTCAGACTGTAAGCTCCCCGAGGGGAGGGTACCTAGCACAGGAGTCTGTGTGGGGGAGGGACTTAAATGGGGGGGGGGGGGCTCTGAATCAGATGAGGCAGCCAGCCTGGCACATGATCCAAGAAGAGCTGATGGAAGTTTGCAGGGTGCTTTGGGGAAAGCTCTGGCTGCAGCATCCCGGGGGGATGTAAAAGGGGCCCAGCCCAGGCGGTGGCACCAGCCACCAGACACAGGCTCAAGAGGCCCTTCTGAGAAATACTCAACAGGATGCAGTGATATCTATCAAAGGAACGGTAGTGGGGACACAGGACAAGGGTCCAAGAGGACTCCACAGTGCGGAGGATGGAAGATGGAGATGACGGCAGTGCCAAGAACAGGCAGGGGAGTCAGGCTGAAAGCTGTGCCTGAGGCCCAGGGGCCCATAGGGCTCCCTGGTGCCAGCTCCATCGGCTCCAGGCTGGTGATGAGGCTGGGCTCCCAGCTTTTGCTGGAGGGCATCCAGAGAGAATACACACACTGACCACAAGCATGGGTCATGCCGTGGGGGAGCAGCTGGTGTGGGGCCAGGAAGGCTGTTGGTCTACCCCACAGGCAACCAGGCTGGCAAAAGCAGGCCAAGTAGGTAACAGTAAAAGAAGATGCAGAGTGGATGTAAGGGGATGCCTGGCAGGGCCTCGACGAGCACAGGGGCCTTCTGGACAGGCCTTTCTTTGAGGGCCATTCTGAGGGCAGTGTGTGTGACCAGGGCCACTTTGGAGGCCATGGATAAATGGGACTGGAAACTCGGTAAGAGGTTATGGCTGGAGACCCAGATTTACTGGTTATCTAGATAGAGGGAACAGTTGAAGCTATGAGATTGCATCAGGCTGAATATTCTACATTCTTCTTAATACGGGGGCACACAGGCCCCGCCGTCAGAGAGCCTGCCAGCCTTGGGGTCAAGAAGTCAGAGATTTAAATTCTCCAATCATTTAACATCTCAAGTGTCCCAGCCAGCTCTACCAGGCTAGACACTGCAGAGCAGATGGCCAGTTTCGCTGATCAAGGGAACTGGGGACTGGGGTTTCCAATACCAAGGGAGTCACAGATGAGGCAAAGAAGAAAACGTCTATGCCAGCATCAGCGTGAAGATGGTGCATATGAGGAAAAGGAGCCTGAGCTGCTGAAAGTAGAATTAGTGATCCCCACGCATCGCGTGTTCTAGTTCCAGATACTGAATTTGTACGCAGGCCATTTCCATCACCCCAAGGCCCGTCCACCACCCTCCCCTCGAGTCTCTGGCTTACGATAAGTAGGCTCTGCGGCTTGGCCCCAGTGAAACTGCAGGGAGCCTCTGAAGGCATCAGCTGATCAGGTGGGGCTGTGTGGTACTTGGAGATCAGATGGGGAGGAGAAGGGAGCATAGTCAGAGAGCCTGATGAAAGAAATCTAGAGAACTGGCACAGGACCAGAGCCAAGATGCAGGCTGGTAACTCCACTGTCGTCTGTGGGCTCCACTGTGGGTGCTCTCATGGGCACCCAGGCTATGCATACACATGCTACGGGCTGCATTTGAGGGCTCATTTATTTTCATCTACTCATATCACACTAACAGTGAAGAGCAACGCAAATTACAGTGTTATGTTCGGAAAAAAAGAGCACATTGTGTCATATGGACTTGTTGATAAATATAAATGGACTAAGTGGGACAAACGTCCTTAAAACATTTTTGTCCCTGACAAGATACACCCAATTCATTCATCTGTAAGACAAAGAGAAGTTTTATAAGTTGATTCAGAAATTAGGAATTCCGACAACAGTAGCTGACATGCCAGAGATGGTGGACCACCTCATTATAAGAGGTGGGTGTAGCAAGGTCGGCACCCATGTTGGTGTGAAATGGGAGAAGCTCCACAGGGCCAAGGCCAATCCTGGTGTTCACCCAACCTGACCGCCCACAGGTACCTCTCGATCATGGCTGCACCCGTCCTGCGGACACACAGAGCAAGGCCAATGTCTACCCAAGGAGCAACTTCTAAATGAACACAAAGGCAGAAAAGAGTGTGAGAAGGAGCCCTTGGTGAAGGCAAATGGGCGCATCTGCAAAGTGCTTTATTTCAGGAACACAAGGCAGACCCCTGTCGGCATGACGGGGCAGAAACAACAAGGGTCTGACTCAGCAGGAATGGCACTGAACGAGGCACAGACCAGGCAGAAGAGTCTAGTTCAGCTAAAACACGCAGTTTGGTGCTAGACCTTCAGTGTCAGGCTGAGGAATTCGAACTTTGAACAATAAGCACTGTAAGCCATCGGTTATGTCTGAGCAGTGCAGTGATGAGATCCGATAATAATCCCACAGAGGACAAAAAGAGGGACAGAAGGGTAGGAAACTGGAGGTGGGAGAAGAGTGATGAAGGTCTGAACTAATATGGTGGCAGTGAGAATGGAATGGGGGGGATGGAGTAATTAGCCAGGGAACGGGAGGTATCAAAGACGACCTCAAGGTATGTGGCCTGAGAAATCAGGAGAACAGTTATTTATGGGAGAGATAGAGATACTGTGACCAGGAGCAAGCCTGGCTTTGGGTGTGGGAAGAAGGTATGGCTGAGGAAAAGTTAGGAGTTATTTTCTTAGACAGTGAGGCAGATATCCCCTATGCTAGATTCACCTGATCTGTCTCAACCTATTGCTTGGTCTCAATTTCTCCTCCTAGAAGTTGTAGTCTTTTTCATCTTAAACCATTCATTTACTGGGGAAATTTTGACGAAAACTTGAGAACACGTATGAAACAAAGCAGGTAGTTTCAGAAAGTTTTGCTGTTTCTTCCAAGAAGACCTACAAACACCAGCATGCCAGCCAGAGACAGGCAGAGAGAGAGACCCAGCCAGAGAGAGACCCAGAGATAGCCAGAGAGAGAGAGAGACCCAGACAGAGACAGCCAAAGAGAGAGACCCAGCCAGAGACAGCCAAAGAGAGAGACCCAGCCAGAGACAGCCAGAGAGAGAGAGACCCAGACAGAGACAACCAGAGAGAGACCCAGACAGAGACAGCCAAAGAGAGAGAACCAGACAGAGACAACCAGAGAGAGACCCAGCCAGAGACAGCCAGAGAGAGAGAGACCCAGTCAGAGACAGCCAAAGAGAGAGACCCAGAGATAGCCAGAGAGAGACCCAGACAGAGATAGCCAGAGAGAAAGAGACCCAGACAGAGACAGCCAGAGAGAGAGACCCAGCCAGAGACAGCCAGAGAGAGAGATTCAGACAGAGACAGCCAAAGAGAGAGAACCAGCCAGAGAGAGACCCAGAGATAGCCAGAGAGAGAGAGACCCAGACAGAGACAGCCAAAGAGAGAGA